GGTGTTGGGGACTGAGCCTGACATCTGCTCCCTCACTACAGAAGCGGAATGGCATGATGGAGCCCGACGACTTCCGGGCCTGCCTCATCTCCATGGGCTACGACCTGGTGAGTGTCCCCCAGCCGCGTCCCAGCCGTCCCACCTGTGCCTGTGTCCCTCCCACCTCACACACGACCTCATTCCCTCCTCACCTACCCGCTAGGGCTGGGGAGAAATACCCCATTTCACACAGGGGCTACCAAAGGCTCAGAGAGGTAAATTAACTCGCCCAAAGACACTAGATTTGGACCTTGTTCTGTGTGACTCCAAAGCCTGAGCTTGCAACGTTTCTACATCACAGAAACAGCACTACAGAGAGGCCCAGGAAAAGGTCAGGACCGACGGGCAGCAGGGGGCACTGCCGTGGGCAGGAAGCACTGCCGCATGCAGGAAGCAGAGCACACACAGCCTAGCAGAAAGGATTTCCCTGACCTAGAGCTAAGGCTGCAGCGGATGGTCTATGGAGAAAGGGGGCACCTTGTCACTGGAGCTGTCAGGCCAGGGGGACACCGGGAGCCCTCCTGGCTTAAGCACCCCCGGGCACGGTGCCCGGCCTCTAACCCTGCAGGGGGAAGTGGAGTTTGCTCGAATCATGACCATGGTAGACCCCAACGCAGCCGGGGTCGTGACCTTCCAGGCCTTCATCGACTTCATGACCCGAGAGACAGCCGAGACCGACACGGCTGAGCAGGTTGTGGCCTCATTCAAGATCCTGGCGGGAGACAAGGTGAGTCCCTGGTGGTGCAGGGGGCTGGCGGCCGGGGGCAGGGAACAGGGCCTGTGGGCCCTCAAGCCCTCTTCTTCCCCAGAACTACATCACGCCTGAGGAGCTGCGGCAGGAACTCCCAGCTGAGCAAGCCGAGTACTGCATCCGCCGCATGGCGCCCTACAAGGGGGCCGGGGCTCCAGCTGGAGCCCTGGACTATGTGGCCTTCTCCAGTGCCCTCTATGGGGAGAGCGACCTCTGACCTCGGCCCCTGAGGTTCTCTATGCAAGTCCGGAGAGAGGGTGCTTCCTCTGGCTGATCCCATCCATCCCTCGGAGCAAGGGCCCTAGAGAATGACCAGCCAAGTGTTTCTCAATAAAAAGCCATAGTGGGCCCCTCCCCATCTCCTTTTGCTTCCTGAAGCAGAAGCTGGGCCCTCAGGCTTCTGGGCAGGACCAGTTGCCTGACCGTGACCGTCCTCCAGGGGTCCCCACCGCCCCTCCTTGCCCTCAGGGTCCAACATTCACACCACACTGGGGTCAAGGACACCTCTTTATTGTGTTAGAAAAGGTTAGTTACAACAGTTTCTCTAGACATGGAAGGCAACACTGTCCCCAGATCCAGGGAGGACCAGAAAATTTATAGCATCAGAGGAAAGCCGGGGCAGGAAGCCTGAGCCTCCAGAGGACAAAGCTGGCTTTAAGACCAGAATATTTTCCTCCCCCTGCTCCTTACCCGAGCCCAGGCTTCTTGCCCCAGCTTTGGCTGCCAAGACATCATCCTTCACCCCAAGATCCTCCTAGCTACCACAATTCAACAGAGGTGCAGTTGGGGAACTTCAGGGTGGGAGTAGGGGCTGTGCCCCTAGCCCAGTGGCCTTTGCTCACCCTGAGGTACCTGGTGCCCGTCCCTTAGCCAGCTGTGCCTCCTGGGGAGGGGCCTGGTCATGCAGGTCAAGCAGGGGAAGGGGCTGCTCTAGTCAGCACCAGGCCCTGAGCTGGTGCGCCTCAGTCCACCACTGCTGAGCTGGCCATGATGTTCACACCACAGGCCCCGGAGCCACGGTGCAAGTAGTAGTAACCCTGGGAGAGAGGGGGCGTTGGTGAGGGCACTGGGGCAGGATGGGGGCTGGAGGGCTGGGGCCAAGCAGGCGAGACTCACCTCCTCGCCCCAGTCAGTGCCCCAGCTGTTCTTGATGGCCCAGAAGGGAGTGGCAGAGCCTGGGGAGCAGTGCGGAGAGCAGGGAGTCAGGGCCCCAAGCACTTTGCACTCTTCAAACATCTGCTGTGGGCCTACTGTGTGACAGGTACTAGGAAAAGAGCAGAAAGCAAGACAGGCCCACCTACCACGCTCCCGGAGATCTGGTGCGGCTCTGGGGTTTGGGGAGGGCACCCCCCACCCGCCTCTAGCAGGGTATCCATTCATAACACCTCAACCTCCCAGCACCCTGGCTTTCCCATTCATGGAGAGGATGGATGATCCTGCCTGGCCCATAGCCCGAGGCAGAGGTAAGGACAAAGTTCCTTGGCGTTCCCCTGATGCCCCCTCCAGAGGTCCTGAGATGCTGTGGTCCAGCCTCTGCCTGTGACCTGCGGTGGATGGATGGGCAGAGCAGGGTCAGCGGAACTCACGGTTGCCGTAGCCCACGAGCAGCACAGCGTGGTCGATGAGCCAGGGGCTGCAGAGGGGCCGTAGTGGGTGGGAGATCCCATGGCGGTAGAACTGAGGGGGAGAAGACGAGTAGGGGGCCAGCTCTGAGAAGTGGGGGAAGAGTCAGCAAGAACCAGAGCAGCAGTGAGGCTGGGGTCCTACCTGCATGCCAAAGGCGTTGATGGCAACGGAGATGGGGCCCTTCTTGGCCAGCCAGGCCGCCAGCTCTAAGACAGAGGAGGGGCAGTGTCAGGGGCACCCAGGCCCCAGCTCCACCTGGCCTGTCCTCACCCCCTCCCCGCTCCCTCACTCACTTTGCTCATTCTGGCTCAGCTCCACTGAGTCGTTGATGTAGACCTTGGCCTTCTCTGCAGAGAAGCTGCAGGCCTGCAAGTGGCCGTGGTAGCTGTAGTCGTCCTCTGTCTCCAGCCCTCCTGCGGAATGGCGGGGGGCAGATCGGGGGTTAGAGAAAACGTGGGCCCCAGTTCACAATACTCATCTGCTCCCAGCCAGGGGCTGTGCTAAGCCCCTCCTACACAAGGCCTCACGTTCCCTATCCACCCCCAGCTACAGGCCATCCTCTCTGAGGGAGGCCTCATTCTAGAGGTGACACAACTGAGTTCCCAGAGGGATGGGGGAGCCACCAGTGAGAAATGTGGCAGAGATGGAATCCAGCTCCCAGCTTCTGACTCCTCACTCATCCCAGCATTCCTGGGACTCCTGACCTTGGCCTGCTTGTCCGGCCCTGACAGTTTGCTCCCAATCTGGCCCAGACCCCTGCCAGACTCCCTCACCAATCCTGGTACAGCCACCTCAATCCCTCAGCCCTCATTTTCCTGCCACTGCGACCCACTGCTCAACTGAATTGCCAATTTAGGACAATGCCTCCTCTCAGGGGTGAGGTGTGCTGCTCCCTGGTTTAGCAGCATTATAGAAATCCAGACCGCCAAGCAATGAAAATACCGAGACCCCCTGCTGTGTACCAGGAACTTTACATATATTTCCTCATTTGACGCTTAAGACGATCCTACAAAGTGGGCATGAGGAGCCCCATTTCCCAGGTGAGACAACTGAGGCTCTGAAAGAGCTGACCTGCCCAAGGTCTTCAGCCGGTAAGGGTCAGCAATAAGACTTGAACCCAGTTCAGGGGACTGCCACGCTCATGTCTCTCCCCTCCCAAAGTGACTTCCTGTGGAGGGAGCTGGGGCTCCCGCTGCCCCTCCTGAAGCCCATGAATGCATACCCAGAGTCCTTATGGCTGAGTAGGCGTTGGAGGGCAAGCCGCCCAGGCAGGCCTTGTCCACCTTGTCACAGTCCAAGAGCTCTAGAAGACAGATGCCTGGTCCCGAGGAGCCCTCCGGAGGGGCTGGGCTGGGGACAGGGTGGGCAGAGCGGGATGCTCACCCTGCTCAGAGAGGGAGAGCAGGGACCCCCGTTTTAGGAACCACTGGCCCTCCACGTTGCCTGTGACTGAGAAGGCCCAGCAGGAGCCACACATGCCCTGTAAGAGACAGGGAGAGTCAGGGCTGGGTCCCTACCAAACGTCAGTGCAGTCCTCATGTCCCACCCTCACTTCTTGGGGGTCCAACCTGGTCCTTGACTTTGGTGACAGCCCCCTTACTCCTCCAGTCCCACTCAGGTGGAGGAAGGTCAGGGATGGACTGGGCTAGGTGCATTTTCTTGCCAGGCTCCTCTTTTAGGAGGGGATTCAGGTAGATGGTACGGAACTCCTCCTCTGTGGGCAGGGGATGGGAAAAAAGTATTCTAAGCCAGTCCTGGCCAGGGGCCTTGGGAGCAGGCCGTCTCCTCCAGGTACCATGATGGCTCTGACCCTACCTGTAAGGTCACTGAACTTGGTGACCCCATACCGAGCTGTGCCACGGTCCAGGGCCTGGATCCTCTGCGCTCGTACCATGTTATTGGCAAAGACGGACATGCGCCACCTGGCTTCTGAGGAACAAGGAGTAGAAGAGAGGCTTGGGCCCCAGGCAGATCATAAAAGGAGAGGTGCTTGGGGATAAGAGGCAGAGGTTTCCCTGGGGAATGGTAGGCTCTGGATCAGGCCTGAAGCCTATTTCAAGAAGGGCAGAACCCTGGGGTGGGTGAGGGTAGGGGGCCAGACCTGCAAGTGATAATGGGGCCAAACCGGGGTGATGACTTCCCAGGTATGAAGGCAGAACCGAAATGGGCTCCAGAGGACATCCTGAGACAGGAGGTTGTGGGAAAAGGCCACAGTGCCAGGGGTCCTCCAGCAGAGAAAATCTGGCCTTTGCCCCATCCCACTCTACCCAGAATGATGGAGACCTATGGTTTCTGACTAGGAAAATCAGATGGGAGAAGGGGCCAGGTACCTGAGATGGCTGCCAAGTCCTGGGAGGCTGAGCAAGAAGTTGGGGATTTAGGGGCCCTTGAAAGGATGCACTGCCCCTTGTGCCCTTCCCCTCTCCCACACCAAGGTGCCAAGTTGGGGGGAAGGTCCTGATCTGATCGGGACAGGTACAGCCAAGGCTAGGTCCTCACCCTCCGTCGTTTCATATGTCCGGTTATAGGTGGTGACAAAATCCTTGAAGATCGAAACCATCTTCACAGAAAAGTCCTGGAAAGGCAGAGGGGTCTTTACAAGGCGTCCTTCTCCTGGCGTCCGGGAGCCCCAGGCCAGGGTGAGGGGAAGAGAGGGAATATAAGGCAGCAGCCAGTTCCCCAGACAAACAGGCTCCTCACCTGGGGCAGGGGATCCTTGTTCAACAGTGGAAGGAATGAATTGAAAGTATCATTTTTGTCATCTGAAGAGGGTTGGAACAGAGAAGAATCAGGACTGACCCCTGAGCGAAGTCTGACCTGAGCTATCCCAGCATCCCTGGGCTATCCCAGCACCTGTAATCTTGGTATCCACTGGGCCACAGTCCCGCCTCAGCAGCATGTGTTTCCCCAGCTCAACCAGGACTTCAAAGCTGCAAAGCTGGAGGAAGAGGAGGGAGCCCGTTGCGGGGCTGGGACAGGAGCAAGGCCTTGGCAAGATGGAGCCGGAGGGTCCCCCAATGAGGATCACCTCCAAGGCAACCATCCCCATAGGGGAGAGCTAGGCACAGTACGGGAGTGAGCACCCAGACACCCTCCCTTTTACAGCATCTTGGTCTCTGGCCTTCCAGGCCTGGGGAGTGACTCACGGTGGGGTAGCTGCGGCCTCAGATCCCTCCTTCTAGACTTGACCGATCATCCCAACTACTGCCAGACTCAGTCTGGGGACAGGGTATCGCAGGAACCCCATCACTCACCAGGGTTTTCTTGGATACACGGAGCTGGCACACCGTGGGGTCGTTGCAGGGCGGCTCCACCAGGGTTGCCTTCAGGGAGTACAGCGACCCCCGGCCCGCCTGGATGGGGGGTGGAGGGGGGCGCCGTGAGGCGGGCACAGCCACTCCCTCCTCAGTCCGGCCTTGGTGGGGCTCACAGCCCCACCGTGCCGTTCCCCTTCCCAATCCGTAGAGGTCCAACGCCCCCATCCCAAGTCAGGCGTCCAACGCCCCTCCCCAAGTCTACCCCAAAGCTCCCAGCCCTCAGACGAGAGCTCCGCTCACCCCGCACCGGGCCCCCACCCGCCGCCGCCGCCGCCGCCGCCCCCAGCGCGTCCTCACCCGGCGGACGCGACCGCGCACGACCCTCAGCGCGGCCCGCGTCCTGGCAGCCCGGCCGCGGTTGTACATCTCTAGGGCGAAGCGGGCGGGCTCCAGCAGCTCCGAGGACGCCAGCTCCCAGGCCTGCGCGCCGGCCGCTCGGGGCTCGCTGGGGACCGGAGCGGCGCCCGGGAGCAGCCCCAAAAGCAACAGCAGCTGCAGCCAGGGCGCCATGGCGAGGGCGAAGCCGGCGTCCCGTCCTCACGCTCTGACAGACGCGCAGCCCAACCGACCGGGCTGAGCAGCCCACGGTCGCTGGGGTCGGGGGCGTGGGGGGAGCCCTGGGGGGCCCTCCCTCCGTCCCTCCCTCCGTCCCTCCCTCCGTCCCTCCCTCAGCTCCAGGGCGGCGGGGTGCCGGCCAATGGGCGCCGGCTGGGGGCGCCTGCGCGCTCGCTTATTCACGTGAGGTTCATGGGGCGCGCTGGCTCTGCAGGCATCCTGGCGCTAGTCCCGCGCTGACTAACGCATCCTTGCTCCAGCCGGGTCTGAGGAGGGGTGCCCCGAGCCGCAGCCTTGCCCCAGCCGGGTCTGAGGAGGGGTGCCCCGAGCCGCAGCCTCTTCTTACGTCTTGGAGCTGCTGTTTGTGTAGCAGGGAAGAGCCAGTTCTGACTCCCTGTTGGATCTGTTTCTTTTACTTTAACCTTTGCTTTTCGTTGCTTTTGTTATTATAATCACTGTCTATAGCCGTGAGCATCCTGCCACAGGGAACCCTGCCCCTCTGCCTGTTAAACTAAAGTGCCTTTGTTCCGCTCACAGAGAGACATTCTGACCCTGTCCATCTGTGAGTGGCTGCACAAAAGAAGAGATTAACACATTCCCTCCTATTTTGCAAGATAAATGGTATTTTTACTTTACTTCCTCACCTCCTCGCCGTCTCTGTTCTATAAAAGAAACTGGCATCCAAACCCCATATGTTTTTTGGGGGACCCTAGTCCACCATCTTCTCAGTCTGCCAGCTTTCTGAATAAAGTCGTATTCCTTGCCTCAACACCTCGTCTCCCGATTTATTGGCCTGTCATGCGGCGAGCAGGGCGAGCTTGGACTCGGTAACGTTTGGGGAGGAGAAAGGATGCTGGCCTGAGAATAAAAATAACTAGCATTTATTGCATGCTTATTATACATGTTATATGCCATCTCCTTTTAATCTTTGTAGCAATCCTGTGAAGTAGATGTTATTATCCCCGACTTATAATTGAGAAAATACAGGTTTAGGGAGATTAAGTGGCTTGCCAAACAGCTGCTAAGTGAAAAAGCTGGACTTGAACCCAGAGAGTTGGCTTCAGAGCTTGAGTTCACAGCTCCACCAGCTCTTCGAAGCCCCTCTTCTCATCAGCAAAATGGCAGCTAAAATTCCCTGCACTGGTACTGCCTCAGGCAGTCATGGGGATCAAACACAAACATGCGAACAGTGCACAAGGTTGGGACCGTTCTTTTGTTCCACCAAGCATTCACCACTGTGTTCAAGGCCTAGCAAGAGGAAGCATGAACAGATATACTAGGCATAGTGCTGCCAATTCGGAGCTCCCAGTCTAGTGGAGAGAGATGAGAAAAAGGAATTTTCCTCCAAGGTGTTACCAGTTGTGGGACAGGAAACAGGGAAGAGAGTTTTTAAGGGAGTTTGGGAAGCCCCAGAAGTGGGTAGAGGGTTAGTTTGGGCATGGAGAGTGGGGAGAGCAGGTCCTAAAGATCATCCGGTCCACACATGACTTCTTTTGGTAGCAGAGGGCTATCGAGGCGAAGTGACTTTCAGCTACTTAAAACTTAGTGCTGGAGCCAGACCAGAGTCAGCTCCAAGCTCCCAGCTGATGTCTGAGAGGGGAGGGCCTGAGGGAGCCCAGCAGTGGCTGATCTCCCCCTGCTTGTGCCCTCCCCAGTTGCAGCTCTTCGGGGCTCCTTTTGTCTCTCTTGCAGGAGACAGTCCCAGGTCCTTAATCTGGCTCCTAAGGCCCCCTTCAGGTCCAGAAGCACCTTGGCCGTCACCTTCTGCTGTGCACTTGACACTCCAGTCTCACTCTATTTGCAGAAGTTCGAGCTCTTGCGCACCCTGGAAGCTTCACATTGCTCTTCCCTTGGCCAAACTCCCAGACACCTTTCAGCTCTTGGTTTAGAGGATGATTCCTCAGGAAGGCGTCCCTGACCCACCCCTGAAACAGGAGGTAAGGGGGCAGGGCAAAACCTTTGAAAGAATGACACAGCCCGAGGACATGACATAAACTGATTAGAACCAAATGGGTCCAAGATGGCGGACAAGTCGACTTCCACTAGACCTTGAACCTCAGTAACTTACCTCTCTGTAACACATCAGCAAGCTAAATGACATACCTACAGGCGCCATGACAGTTCCAAGCCCAACCGCAGGGATCAAAAAGTGGTCGGTGGCCCAATTCCTGGAAATCCCTGCCCCTTCCCGAAATAGCTGGAATACTCCTCCCACTCATTAGCCCAAGAAATTACCCACCCTTATAAAACCTGACAACCCCATACCCTGGGGCCACTCTTGCCTTCTGAGATGGCGCACACTCTGTCTGTGGAGTGTGTTTCTCTCTAAATAAATCCACTTCTTACCTATTACTTTGTCTCTCACTGAATTCTTTCTGCAATGAGACATCAAGAACCTGAGCTGCATTAAGTTCTGAAAGCAGGTGTATGGCCTCAGTTGGAAGACCAAGGCTTTTGGTTGGGTTTGAGTCCTGGCTGTGTGGGTTTGAATCCCTATCTGAGGTGCACGGTTTCACCCCCACTGCCCCTGGGTGAGCTCAATGCCATTGCCTCTGTACTCCTAGACTCTTAGCCCCGTGAACTGCCTCCTCCTGAAAGGTCTAGCAATTTCTAAGGCCCAGCAGGGGCAGTGAGACTTTTCTTAGATCTGGGTTTCCAGAGATCCACATTGCTGTCATATTTCACCTTCGTGGGAAACAGTCATCTTCCCCAAAGTCTGTTCCTTGGGCACCGGAGCCACCTGACACATGGCTAGGGGGAAGGGTGCCTCATTTTCTCATCAGAGGGAGGGAAGAGCACATACTTGTAATTCACAAACGAAAGGGAGTAATATTTTTTAAGTCACACATATGTTATCTCAGGCAATTCTCACAACAACCTTCAAGAGAGAAACTGTACAATTACACATGAGGAAAGTGAAGCCAGGGGCATGGCAACATCCAGGCGCTGAGTTGAAAAGAGGGAGGCAGCAGAGGAGACTGGGAAGAAATGGACATTGAGAGAGAAGGAAGTCTGAGGGGATAAGGTCAAGAAAGTAGAAGAAGAGAGTGGATTTCAAGAAAGAGGAAATGGCTGGCTGTGTCAAATGCCACAGAGAGGGCAAGTAAGATGAGGAGACAGAAGTGACCTTGGGATTGGGCAACATGTAGGTCATGGGGGACCTCATTAGGAGTGGTGAGTTGGAGGCTTCCCTGGTGGCCCAGTGGTTGAGAGTCCGCCTGCCGATGCACGGGATGCAGGTTCGTGCCCCGGTTCGGGAAGACCCCACATGCCGCGGAGCGGCTGGGCCCGTGAGCCATGGCCACTGAGCCTGCGCGTCCGGAGCCTGTGCTCCGCAACGAGAGAGGCCCAGAGCGGCTGGGCCCATGAGCCATGGCCACTGAGGCTGCGCGTCTGGAGCCTGTGCTCCACAACGGGAGAGGCCACAACAGTGAGAAACGCCCGAAACACAAAAAAAAAAAAAAAAAAAAAAAAAAAAAAGAGTGGTGAGTTGGGAATTCCCTGGTGGTCCAGTGGTTGGTTGGGACTCCATGCTTCCACTGCCAGGAGCCCGGGATTCGATCCCTGGTGGGGGAACCAAGGTCCTGCATGCCTTGGGGCACAGCCAAAATGCGTGTTTTTAAGATGGGAGACACTAGAGTATGCTTATGAGTTGATGGAATAGAAAGGGAGATATTGATGATTCAGGAGAGTGAGGGGAGAATTGTAGGAACCAAGAGTTTGAAAAGAGAGGGTTGGTGTATCAGTTCTCTATCACTGTGTGGAACATTATCACAAAACAAATGGCTAGGGCTGCAGTCTCATTGGAGGCTGGACTGAGGAAGAATCTGCTTCCAAGCTCACGGGGCTGTTGGCAGCACTCAGCTCCTTGTGGGACCTCAGACAGGGGCCTCAGTTGTTTGCTGGCTGATGGCTGTCTGCCACCCTCAGCTCCTTGCCATGTGGACCTTCCCAACACGGCTGCTTGCTTCCTCAAAGCAGGTAAGGGAAAGCGAGGATATTAAAGTCTTGTCTAATATAATCACACATGTAATCACTTATATCAATCACCTCTGCTGTTTTCCTTTCCTTTTTTTTTTTTTTTTTTTACTATTTATTTATTTTTGGCTGCATCGGGTCTTAGTTGCGGCACCCGGGATCTCTTGTTGTGGAGTGTGGGCTTCTCTCTAGTTGTGGCACACAGGCTCTCTAGTTGTAGTGCTCAGGCACCAGACCATGTGGGCTCAGTAGTAGTGGTGCACAGGCTTAGTTGCCCCATGGCATGTGGGACCTTAGTACCCTGACCAGGGATTGAACCCGTGTCCCCTGCATTGGCAGGCAGATTCTTAACCACTGGACCACTAGGGAAGTCTCACACTTTTGCTGTTTTCTGTTGGCTAGAAGCAAGTCACAGGTCTCTCCCATACTCAAGGGGAGGGGAGAGGATTACACAAAGAGGTGAACACCAGGAGGTGGGGATCATGAGGCCCACCTTAGAGGTCTGTCTGCATGCGTGTTCCCCAGAAGAGAGCCCGGTACACAAAAATACTAACAACAGTAAAAATAATGTCTAACATTTAATGAGCACTAACTACATGCTAGGCACTCAGCATTCTCAGTACATGCATATGTATTAGCCCACTGAACCCCACAACAGCCCCACAAAACAGCTATGATGCAGATAAGGAGACTAAGGCAACAAGAGATTCAGTTACTTGCCCAAGTTGTAGAAAGGGTGAAGATGGAAGCAGGGTTTGAATCCAGTTCTAATACAGATAGAGATTCTGCTTCTCAAACTGGCCTCTGCAGACCCCGGGGTACAGGAGGGGTGCCATTTAAAGCCAGAGGATAAACAGAGCATTATTCTCCCAATTAAGCTCAATGAACTAAATAGATCAGCCACTGGAATTCCCTGGCCCTCCAGTGGTTAGGACTCTGTGCTTCCACAGCAGGGCACACGGGTTCAATCTTTGGTC